CCAGTACCTTACATATAGTCAAGAGAGCAGAGCAAAGCAGTCTTCCAGAAACTCTAAGGAAGAACCAGTTTCCTAGACCTTTCCAGTTTGTTGATGCTGATATCTGTAATTCCTTGACTCAGGGCCCCATTTCTTCATCATCAGAACCAGTGGAGGAGAGATCGTTGACTCCTGCAGTGTAATCATAGACCTCAGCAGCAAACCCGGAACAGAGATGTGGAGTCTTTTCATACTGGTATATTCTGTATAGTGTATTTATTACATAGTACAAGATCATTGTCATACCTAACCTTAGTCATCATTGAAGAAACCAGCTTTCCTCCATCTGTGGTCATGTAGTCACAGATTTGGGGGATCAGGACATTAACATCTCACAGGAAGGGGGACACCATAGTTTTGTTAACATACATTAAAAGTAAAAAATATGTCATTGGTGTGCAAGCACAGTACAGAATGTCATTTTCGCACTAAAGTAAGGGAGTGAAAAGTTCAGAAAAGATACTGATTTGTGCTAAGTAAGTGGATTTTCAGTTGTCTTGTTTTAATCATGCCAGTGCCGTACATTTTCTGCTCTTCAACTTTGTCACCTGGAGGATGAGCCTAGCAGGTTTTCCTCAGAGGACTCCTTATGGAAGGTTTATGTTGATTTTTGTATCAACACGGAGCATTTTAATTTCTTGGCTCAGAATTCATTAACATTAAAGCCAAGCTGAGGTTTTAATCATTTCCTCTTAAATCGGTACTTTTTTTTTTTCAATGTAGCTTTGTGTTGGTCATTAAATGAAATTTAAGATAACTTTCATAAATTACTTGCAATGGTCCTGAGAAGTGGTTGCTCTGTTCCTTTACAGACTACTTCTCACCTACTATGCTTTGGCAGGTGGGGGTGAGGCAGCATTCCAACTGGAGAATTTGACCCCTTTGAGAAATGTTAGCATCAAATGCCTGATCTACACCCTGCACAGAACTAAACAGTAAATATCAGAATATGTCAAGTCTGTCATTTCACAGGTACTGAACTGGACATTAGTTATATTATTGTTGAAAAGTTTAGGAACCCCAGTAATCCTCTCCAAAGACACAATAATCCAAATCAGACCAAATCAAACCAAATTAGAAAAGCCCAGATGGCTTTCCACCACCCCTCCCTAAGCCCATCAAGAGAGGAGATGAGAAAGAGACTGGAAAATTGTGAGTCTGTTTTCTTAGGGATAGTTTAAATACCCTGTGGGAGTGGTCTTGAGCATCTCTGGAGGAGGGAGCATCATTTGCTGGACTTTCTGAGATGCAGCAGGGTTTAGAGAGAGAGAGATTAGGGAGGGAGTTTTGCACCATAATATTCCAGACTCTTTGGGTATATGGATGCCAGGGAGGGATTGGGATGATGTTTCCACTGGAACAATTGTCTTTAATTAATAGAGTCTATTGAAAAAGTAAAACAAGTACCAACCAGTAATCTAATTTTTTAATAAGTAGCTTGTTGATATAGACAGATGAAAATGGACGAAAACTGAATTTATATAGTAACATTTATTGGCCTTAATCTTAAGGCAGATTGGCTAGGACTTACTGTTAATGAATAAAATCTTGTCAGTAGATTTGATATAGAGCTTCATGTACAGGCAAATACTGTAGGACATATTTTAAATATGTTACTCTATAAGGTAGATAAAATCAGTATTTTTCATATTGAGTGCATTTATGTGTGTCATGAAATAACTAATAAGGTATAAAAAATCATTAGCCTTTCTTTAGAAAGATATTTAAGCTAGTGAACTATAAAATTCCAAGTTCTTATAAATGTCACTTGGAGTTCTGGGGGATGCCTCTCTTTTGAATTCAGAAATCATAAATTGAATATCTTGATATAGTTGAGTAAGCGGGAAATGAACACTGCTTTTCAATCGACTGGTAGATGTGATCCTAAGTGGGAGCACAAGGAAGAAGAGGGCGAGAATGAATAAGAAATGCATCTGAAAATGGTGCTTAGCATATAGAGAATATCAACACGTCCTTTAGGTTCTGACAAGTCTGTCTCTATTTCCTCACCACGCTTCCTAAAGAATAGGTGTGTGATGGATAGATCCTTGCACACTTAGAAATAATTGTTATTCAATCGTAAAATAAAGACAAAGTCTAGAGAAATATTTCTAACTGTAACAATATACTTTAATGGCTATAGTTCCATGAAGATGCCTGTCTTTCTCTCCTGAGACTTCTTTCCTGTCATTTTTAAAAAAAGATCAATCTCCTTTTAAAATATCTGCAGAAATTAATATTGTTAACTTGACCCTGGTGATTTCAATTATAGACAAGTGAAAATGGAGTCGGTTTCATTTATAGGGCAGAAAGTGTCTTTACAACTTCAATTTCACTTTCACGCTTAAATTTTCCTTAAAGGATTGTGAAGAATTCCAGCTTCCCTACTGTTGTGTCTTACACAAAATCATGTTGAATATGTATTTCCCAGCATCTAGAGATGCTGATTCAGTGTAGCTGGTGACAGGTGTCTCAATGACAAAGGCAGGAGGCCTTTAAAATCTCCAGTTTGGGAGTGTCAGGATGGGTATGACATAGACTCATGCTGACAATCTAAAATGAAGGCTCTTGGCATAATTGCTATTCATTCAAAAGTTAAGAAATGCAGCTGTGTCCTCTTCACCTCCAATCCCTGAAAATTCTACAAAGGGGATGGAGATTTGTCCTCTTCACTTCTGAGTTTCCACCTTCTGCCTTCTCTTCCTTTGATGGCACTAAGGGTCAGTGGACGTAGTGCTATTCTTCTCCTAATTAAACTTAGACTGGCCAAAATTATCCATTTACTGGGGTGGGGTTTTTTCCTAACACAGAGAGAGTTTCTCTTTTTATTGATAAAAGAATGAATGTCTATTTCTTTCCACCTAGTGATGGAGTTGGGGTTGGGGCATGAAGGTTCTGCAGCATATCCTCAGGCAATGCAAGAACAAACAATTAAATAAATAAATTTTGGGGTGGGGAGCAATTTTTCTTTCTAGAAATGACTCCTGATATTGCTTCAGATGACAGGAAGGATAAATTAGCTGAAGATTTATAGAACTCTATTAACTCTTGGGCATGAGCTGTAGGCTAACTGACCAGTAAGAATATGTTCATTAATTAATAACTCTTAGCTTTGGGCAGAAGAATGTATGGTGAACACACATGTTAATTTCTAAAAACCGTCAAAATCAGAGTGTAAGTTTGTAGTCCTGATGTCTTCACATGAGCTATTTACATGTTTTCTACCTACAGAGATCTTTGAACTATTGACTAAAAACATCCATAACTTAACATGATTATTGTAGTCAAGGTCACATCATTTTATAAGGTGCTCCCATTAACTTGATTCTCACTCTCCTCAGTCTTGTGGGTGATTCAGTTAGCAGGCCCCAGGCTACAGACTTCCTCCCTTCAACCCTATCATCTAAGGACCAGAGACAACCCGACTGTCAGCATGTACTGGGTTACCTGTCAATCACATGATATAAACTCCTCCCTTCCTCTAAAAATAAATAAATAATAAATAAATAAATACATAAATAAATAAATAAATAAATGCTATAAGAAGGGACATCACCGAGCCACTTGTGTCTGAACTTGGGCCCGGTTCTTTCTTCTTAGAGCCTCTGTCACATTGTTGTCTGTCAGCCTGGCTATGATGTTAACATCACTTCAAATAGTAAGTCTTTCCTAAAAACAACAACCCATCTCTGTGTTGTCCCTTGAATTCTAAACCTGAAAACTTTCCATGACAATTTTAGGTCTTCTGGGTAATTGGGCTCAGTTTTATACTCTGTGTTTGGGTATGGCTCTTACATCCACAGAAACAGCTTGACAACTGTTAGTCCTTCATGCCTACAAAGTAACAAACAAATCAGAATTTTACTACAGCTATGAATGAATCATTTGAAAATGGATCCCAAGTCTAATAGTTAGGCAGGCTGAAAAGTCCTAAGAGCTTACTAAATTTAAAGAAAAAAACAAAACAAAACAAAACAAAACAAAAACAAAGAAAACAAATAGCATCAGGACCAGAAAGATAATACCTGGCCAACATTTTTTCTTTCTTTTCTTCTTTTTGGTTGTGAGCCTAGTCTTTAATGGCTGAGCTATAACTCCAGCTCCTTTTCTTCTTTTTAAAAAATAAATTTATTCTTGGAGAATTGCATATATGTATCGTGTTTTTATCTATTCCCTTGTATTCTCTTCCAGCTTCTCTCAGATATTCCCACCAAGATTTAGTTTGGATCACAAGAGTTATTAGGTTTACGGATGTATTGAAGGTAGTGCTGAACTTACCATACATTAAATAACAAAATTTAAAATTGGGGGCAGGAGAATGGCTCAATGGGTATAATTGTGGCCACCAGGACTGATGGCCTGACATGAATCTCTAGTACTTACATGGCTGGAGGGAACCTACTCCAAAAATTGTCCTCTTATACATGGACCATGTCACATTCACATTTACACACATACACACACACACACACACACACACACACACACACACACACACAGTACCCTCACATGGGAATTTGACAATTAAACTAATGAGGTGATAAGAGATTTATCCCTGACTTTTGTCCTTCTGGACTCAAACTCAGGGCCCTGTATGTACTAGGGAACACAAGGAAAAATTTTAGCTTACACTTTAGTTTTCATTAGTTTTCTGTGTGTGGGTGAGCTTTAATTACTAACTGTCACTGAGAAACCAGCAACAGCAACAACAAAACCCAACAACTCGTCTTTGGAGAAGAAAACCGTATTTATGATCTATGAGGTCAACTCCAGTCTATTTTAAATGTTACTTTTATGCATCTACTTACTGTTTCTACTTTTTTTTGTTTCCTTTTCTTTTTCTTTCCTTCTCCTTTTTGATTTATGTTTTCTAGGTAGTATCATACTTTAAGTTAAGCCTCATGGTTATGATGAACTTGTAGATGGAACTTTTTTTTTTAAGTTTTATTATTTTTATTTTATATCAGATGAGTAATATATAGATTCTGTAAAGAGATTTAAAAGAGGGGCATCTCATGCAATGGTGTGAATGCAGTATCATCAAGTTTATGAACCAAAATGATCAAGAACTATATGTAAATTCAGCAGGTGTAGAAAGGTCCCATTGTGTTGAACTCTGCAATCATGAACTTGAAGGCCCAGAAATGACCTTTGACTATTTAATACAAGTTTTCCTCTTGGCAAAATTACTATCTTTCAAAGATGATGAAATACAAACTAATTTTAAATGTAATGCAATCAATGAAAATTAGATAAGCCATAGGTTGCCTGGGGTTAGTCTGGAATTCTCTCCTATATCTCCAGAGGCTCAATCTATAGCCTCGCATTCGCTTCAGGTGTGAATCCCATGAAATGTGGCATTTGAAGTATGCTTTGGTAACCTGTATTTTTTTACAAACCAGCTGTGGAGTGATTAGTGAATCATTTTAGGACATTACACAGCAATTGCTAAAATGAGGAAGGCTCTTTCCTTGCCTGTATTCAATCCCTTAACCCATCATTTTCTACTTTCACAATTTAAAACAGATTGCCTAAATTTCAATTCACTAGCATGCTCATTTAGTTGAAGATCAATTTTGTTTCTGAGAGATTTTCGTGATGTTTCCCCGATCTTATGCAACAAGGGAGGCAAAGGACCATCCTTGCCTGAACAGTTGAAAGGTGAGGGGTGAGGATGAGAGAAGAGAAAGCAAAGGAGGGGTGAGAGGATTAGGAGAGGAGGGATGTCATGGTAATGTAGGGGAAGGGGAATGATGCATGCTTTGCTTAACGTAGGACTTTGTCTTAGAGATAAAATACCTACCCCTCAAAAGAAAAAATCATTGAAACCTAAATACACAAAGCCATTGCTGCCTTTTTCCTCTACTCATGATAAACTTCCTCATGTCTACACACACACACACACACACACACACACACACACACACACACACACACACCAACCCTACTATTTAAGAACCATATTTTATCACAAACAGCACTTTCTTTTACACAAAGCATTCCCACAATCTGACTGTGTGTTCCTACAACCCTGATAACATCATTATTCATCTCCAGGGATAAGGAAATGTTACTGCATTTTTGAGAGCAAAAAGGAGGGAAATCTGACTGATAAAATAGTCAAACAAGGCTTGATAACAATTTATTTCTGACCTTTCCATGCCTTCTGCGCCTAATGATTTTCTGTCATTTCTGTCTAGTCCACACTTGCAGTTAGGTCTCTGAGGTACTTAGTTTTATGTTGCCACTTAACTTTCAACTTCCATTTTCAGCACAGAAAGGTAAATCAGTAACTGTCACTCTCAAGGTTTGTCAGGCACCCAAAAGGGATTATGACATAGATCTGAAGGGGATTTCATGTGACTTTTACTTTAATTTTGACATAATCATGAAAATGCCTTAGGAGTCTGGGAACTTAATTATCCTGAAAGCTAACCCCTCTCTCTCTTTCTTTGCTTAGGTTTCTGGTTCACTACACCCAGTCCTTTCTCTTCCCTGACTTATCAAGAAGTGATTAAGAAAGAAAGAAAGTGAAAATTAGGGGCATTTGCTGTGAGATGTATGCATGGTTGATAACTGTCTCTTTTTCTATAATTTTTCCTTTTATATTTTACCTCCAAGGAGAAGACACATAATTTACTAGTATGGGCATTTTGGCACTCTTTCAGAACCTTGGGAACTACCCTCTGCAAATTTTGTGCCTTATCCTTTATTTCAATATATTGTTGAGTCCAGTTTTTAGCTTAGAGAAGGGAGCCCTGTGGGATAAGAATCTACCCAGAGGTCTTCTATAGAAGAAAATGAGAAAAACAAGTCTAAGAAATCATCTACAGAGAATTACTATCTTTAGATAATAAAAACTATTATGTTTTCCAGTGTATTCATTCAGATAGAGTTGTCTATAGTTAGGTGGACATACATTTTTTCTGGACCAGTCAAATTTTCTTTGCTACAATGAGGCTGACACAAACTAGTTTAAGCCAGGACACTTCTAAGCTTGGCTGGATTCAGGTACTAAAGAAGTGGGCTAACTCTTTGTTGTCTAACAGTTTCCTCAATTAAAACATGCCATCCATCAAGGAAGTGTAACATGAAAATTAAATGACCCAGAGACAAATATTGAGGTTCAAGTTGAAGATCAGGGATGCAAAGCAGCTGACCACTAGCTCCCAACTCTACTGAGGCTGAAAGGGCTGATCCAGGCAGGAGGTCTTCACCAAGTCTCAAACTGCTGCCTCTCCTCAGTGTGGCTGGAGACGGACTACTTGCTCCTTCCTGTCTTTTATATCCCTCTAGTGTGAACTATAATTCTATTTTAGACAGATTAACTCTTGTGTAGATCTGGGTGGCCTTGAACACAGGGAGATCCATCTACCTCTTAATCTTGAGTTCTAGGATTAAAGGTGTATACCACTACCTCCTAAAGTATGGCTTCTGGGATTAAAGGTGTGTGCCTGGCTTCTATGCCTCATGGCTGACTTTGCTTTCTGAATCCTCAGGCAAGCTTTAGTAAATCATAAAATATAAGACTACTGGGAAGCTCCTCAGACAGGAAGGTCAAAAACTCAAAATAGCTTCAGGAAGTTCCTAAAAGTGACTAGGTTCACTAGGCCACTCACTGCTAGAGTGAGCAATGAAAGCAGAGAGTCCTCAGAGTAGTACAGTTATGCTACAAAGAAGACTCTGAGGGAAACCAAGCTACACAGAGAACTCTGAAACTAGACTGGAAAAGGCTCAGACTGAGGCACCCAGAAAAGACACTCTCCAGCCCATTGAGCTGTCTGTAGGATGTACAGTGTGCTCCAGGTGCCCAGCATTATGAAGTGTCACCTCTACTGGAGTGGACTGTGGTGATGCAGCCACATGTCTTTGAGGCATTTCTGCCCCTGTAAATAACCCCTTACTCATATTCCTCTATAAGTAATCCTCAAAAGACTCATTGTTTCATCAAATTAGAGTTCATGTGGTAACCTTACTTTTGTCTGTTGTGGGTTTCCTATCAAGGGTGAGAAGATATGTGTGTTGCATCTCCCCAGGAAAAGTTTTATCACACAACACTCCTCCTTGTCTTCTGTTCTTCAATATTCCCACTTTCATTCTCTGTCCTTGTTTTGTCTCTGCATCTCTCTTGGTGTTGCCTTTGTTCTTAATATAAAGGTGGGTTGGCTTCCTGTAATAGGAAATAAGGACATAAGCATCCCTAATATAAACAGAATAGACTCCTTTCTTTAACGATCCATGAGTCTTCTGGACAAGCATTCAAGCTGTCCATGGAAATGTGCTATACTTATCCCTGGCTTAGCTATACACCTAGAGTGTTGGGAGCCCATCTCTCCTGACATGTTTTTCTATGGACTGATGATTTTACTATATTGGACGATGAAAAGGAGAGATGAGGAATGAAGATTCTTGTTTTATCTGACAGAATTGGAAGTGTAAAAAAGCCAGATGTATCCAAGTAAATATCCTGATGTATTTCTGGCCACATAGAGAGCCCTGTAGCCACTACACCTAGTGGTGTATTTGATTTCTTTTTTAATTAAAGCATTTCGTAGTTTTTTTAGTTAAGGTTTTATTGCTGTGAAGAGACACCATGATCACAGCAACTCTCTTAAAGGAAAACATTTAATTAGTACTGGCTTACAGTTTCAGAGGTTCATTCCATTGTTGTTATGAAGAGAAGCACGTAGGTAGACATGGTGCAGGAGAAGGAGCTAAGGGTTCTACACCTTGATCCACAGATGGCAGAAGGAAACTGCTATACAAGGCCTAGTTTGAGCATGAAAAATGTCAGAGCCACAGACTTCTACAGTGATGTACTTCCTTCAACGCCAACAAGGCCACACCTCCTAAGAATGCCTATGGGCCTATTGGAGCCTATGGGTCAAACATTCAAATACATTAGCTTATGGGGCCATTCCCATTTAAATGACCGCACCTGCATTCCCTGGGCCCCATAAACTTGTAACCATACCATATTGCAGAAAAGCATTTGGTTCTACTTTAAAAGTCACCACGGCCCTGCCACAAACCTGATCAGTGTTGATGTCCCCGTGGCTCCTGTTATCACCAAAGGCCAAGAGGATAGGGATGCACAGAATTTGTCCTGACCCTCATTGACTACAACACTCAAGAACACAGGCCTTGTACCTTACCTGGGCAGCACAGTAGGGTTGACCCTGTTGGCAGGAGCCCTGAGGATGTGAGAGTGGAAGAGACAGTCCCATCCACCTTATCTGTCATGTGTAGTGAGGATAAAGGAAAGAGGCCCTCCCCCAGTTGCTCCTCACCATCTGTGGGAAGCATGAGTGTTGATCCTGCCCCTCACCAGCTGCAGTATTATGAAGAGTGGACCCTGTACCTCACCTAGGCAACAGAGTAGAGTTGGCCCTGGTGGTTTATGTGTGAGTGAGCCAGTCCAAGGGTTTGAGAGCAGGAAAATTAAATCCTTCCCTTGCTGCCCGCTGCATTGGCAGAGCTAGCTAGTGAAGTGCTAGAGAACTCACCCTGGTGATGAGGATGCGGGAGAGCTGGAAGCTGACCAACCCAGCTACCATGCAGACCTAAAACCAGGCCTATGAGTTGGCCCACCCCAAAATCCATCCCATCTATGTCTGGTAGAACATATGAAAGGGCTGGTCTTCCAGATCCAAAGCAGCAGAATCTCCATGACACAGGACAACAGCAGGATATCCAAGAGGAGTCCCAGTGAGGGCTCAGCAGAAGCCAGATACCTCAAACCAGACCAACGATTCATTGCAATGAACACTTGCAAGTAAAGATGTATGGACTAAAGGGCACACTATGTCACACTATAGCTTCCATTTTGGAGGGGGTGGGGATGGGTGGGAGGTTGCAAGAACAGACTGTTGTTGATACAAAGGGATGGGGAAATGAATGGGACCAGGTTGCATGATATGATATGATATCCACAAAGAATCAATAAAAAATATATTTAAAGTCACCATAGTTTATAATAGTATCAAACTTGTTTCAAAGTCTCTTCTGAGACTCATACAGTCTCTAAGATGCCATGAACACAGCAACTCCTATAAAGAAACCA